AAAACCGTATGACCTTTAGAAAATGAATTGTGGACTGCTTTTTACACACTCGTCAGCATCCTCGGCTTAACTCAGTTGCGTTGATTGAAACGCTCTCAGCTCTCACGGGAATGAGGGTCTTCCGGCGAAGCCAAGCGAACCTTTACAACTAATTCCGGCTTTGTTACCATCCGTCTTTCACCGTCGGTCATACCTTCCTCAACTTTTGTAGCAATGAAGTAACTCTGTTATCGAGTACTGATAATATGTCAGCCTTGACATGTTGGTCACTCATAGATATTTTCTTCCGATATTGTTGAAAGGTTCTTATAATATCTTTGTATCCATATAGCTGTTAACGATTGTAAAGTAAACAGGTTACAATAAATAATCTATACCTAGTTCTTACAGATACTGAAATATAACACAAATTCTATGTCAAATAACACCGTTGAATGACATTCTGCAGTTTAAAGACACTGCCGCTATCTCCTCATCCTTGACTGTTTCTTTTCTCCTTTTGTACGAGTTCCTCGCCCTCCCTCTCAGTTCTTTATCGCCATGAATGCTCTCCATGAGAGCTGTCCCTCTTGGGTCCACTGAATCTGCGGGAGAGGGAAAGGAAGTCATGGATGAAAAGGCTCATCATGGGCTGAACAAAAAATGAATATAAACAGACGCCAATGACGGCGATGGAGTCTCTCGCCGCCGCTTACCTTATTAGCGAGGGTGGACGAGATCTCGGCGAAGTCCTCCTCCGAGAAGTCACTAATGAAAGCTTCGCGTGCGCTTGTGAAGGCCTTCAGCTCCGCTTTGCTTATCTTCATGAAGTCCTCATTGAGGTCCTCGGAGGTCACGTCAGTGAATCCTGCCGATTCCAGCTCCTTCACGTAGACGTCCTTCCCGGCGAGGGAGTACCCTTGTGTGGAAACATCATTAGAACATCCTTACATACTTCTCAAAGTTTGGGTTGACAAAGTCGACAATTTTCAAGCTTATAAACAGTAACTCATTACCAGTAATTAATAAAGTGAATGCTCTAGAACAGAGATTCCCAAACTGGGTTACGCGTACTTTAAAGGTGCGTTAAGGATTCTGCGGGGATAAGCAGCAGTTTTGTGAATGGGCGTGGCGATGCTATTAACGGTGACGGCTATTAACCGCGGGCGTGACGCTGGCCCTTGGTGGTGTGACACAGAAATTCCCGAAAACCTTACATGAGATGCCGTGCTGGTAAGGCAGATGCTCAGGAGATACACGATCGGCTGAAAGTTTGGGAAACTGCTAAAATAAATGAGCGGAAAAAATGAGGTACTCACGTTTGGCTCCATCGATGTACGCAAGGAATTCCCTGGAGGGAATGGCGGGACCGCTGCAGAAGTCGGTGAAGAAGAAAATGCCGCCGGGACGTAGCCAGCGCTGAGGAACACAGCACAAAGCCAGGATGAAATCCACTGCAGTGAATCTCTAAACAGTATATTTCATAAATTTGATCCTGTTATAAACATTTTTATCTGATTTACTTTTACGTACATAAATGTGTCTAAAGAGTTTTTGCTTCTCCGGGATGTGGAAGATGCTGTCGCGGCTGTAGATGACGTCGTAAGATTCCCGCTCATAGTCTACGGTGAGGATGTCGCTGATTTCGAACTGAAGCTGCAAATAATAGCAAAACTTTAAATGTATCTCTGTATATACGTTTAATTTAAGCCTTCATTCATTATCTGTATAATATTAACTATATTTCCAGTTATATCTATAGTTCATGAGACCTAATTTTATGGTAAAATATTTGCCTTAGTTGTTGTTGTTCCGCCTCACCTTTTTCTTTAGAGGTTCCTCCAACTTCCCCTGGCGCTCGATGGCGATGTGGATCATGTTAGTAGAGAGGTCGACCCCGTGCACGTGGACCCGTAGTGCCGCGCCATGTAGATGGCCGACCTCCGGTGCCGCAGCCCACGTCCAGCACCCGCATGCCGGGACGCAGGCTCAGGCGGGCGCAGAAGTCCTGGGATTGAGCGCAGAGAGGGTATGAGCCTAGTCATTAGAATCCAAACAACTGACCTTAGTTACAGAAATGCACTGTGTGTCTATGACAGATCCAATGTATTCACCCTGTTCGTCGTCTCTCCACCTGTAGACCACCACATGTACCCATGTGCCCTCTCTCTGCCCAGGATGTTCACCACAGAGTACTCCCTCTGCAGGAACTGAGCCAGCTGGTCTGACTCCTCGCCGTCCACGCGCCGCGCCAAGAAGCACAGCTGGTTTGGGTTGCCGTGATACTGCAGGCCAGTTGCAGGAAACGGGAAAACCTCGTTACTAACGGCTTGTTTTAATTCATACTCCTCTGTGTCCAAGAAATGATATTATAGTCAAAATTCACAAGTAACTAGGCATTGATACAACAATAAACTCATAAACCAATCATACATGGATATAGGTGAGGATGCTTTTGCCGCGCAGGATCTTGAACAGAGCCTGGCCTCCGGCCGTGGCAGAGGGTAGCATATGGCAGTAT